CTGGGGCCTGGGGAGTGGGAGCTGGAGGAAGTGGCTGGTGACTGGGCCTGGAAGTCCTCAGGACCTGCGGGTCCCAGAGGGGTCACCCCACTGCCAGCCGGCTCCAGGGCAACAGTGCTTATTCAAGCTTTATCTCCCTTCTCTACCTGCCACAGACTGAATTTCTGTGTCCCCCAAAGCCTTGGACATCCAGCCTCCAGAACTGTGAGCAGTGGATTTCTGTAGTTTAGAAGCTGTGTAGTTGATGGTGTCTTTGTTATGGCAGCCCAAACACAAGAGACTCCACCCTCCGTCCCTTGCCCTGCCCCAAATTCTTGATTATAGGACTAAAGGGAGGTGGTATGTGAGTGGATTGCACTGCTGGGCAGAGGGGACTCTGGGGAGGGCTCTAGGGAGATGCATCGATGACAGGTCCCTTCCAGCTAGCGCAAAGCTGCGGCGAGAGCCACTCTGGGAGTGGTGACTCAGCAGAGCTGTTGGTTTGGTTTTTTTTTTGGTACCGGGGATGGATCTCGGGTCCTTGGTTGTTTACGCAGCAGGCGGCGAAACCACTGAGCTAAATCACTGGCCACAGCAGAGGTGTTTTATGGGGCACGGCCTCCTGGAGAAGTCCCAGAGTTCAGTTTTGGTCGTGGTGGTTAATAATTGAAATGGTATTTATTTATTTATTTATTGCAGTACTAGGGATTGATCCTGGGACCTTCTCACTGAGCTCCATCCCCAGCCCTTTTGTATTTTTTATTTTGAGACAGAGTCTTGCGAAGTTGTCCAGGCTGGGCTTCAACTTGTGATCCTTCTGCCTCAGCCTGCCAGGTGGGATTACAGGTGTGTGCTCCACCACAACTGGCTCAAGTCAGATTTTCTTTTAGATTCTTGATCACTCCTGGTGCAGTTCTGGGATATGGGAGTCACTGTGCTTTGCTTTGGGAAGATGTTAAAATACATCTTTTGCAGCTTTCCCCAGATTTGGGGCCAGACGTTTGGTATCTCCAGTTACTATGCTTTGAGGATTTCTTATCAAACAGGACATTTGTGGTGTACAAAAACAAAAAAATTAAAGTAGCTCGAGCCAATAGGAGTCTATTTCCTCATACACCTGGGAGTGGAAGGCAGGTCATGTTTCAGGCACGGCTGTGTCCTGGTACTGACCAGGGCCACCAGGCTTCTCCGATGTTCTCCCCTGACCTCCTCCCTGCATGCTTCCTGCCTCTGCTCTCCTGCATTCAGCCAGTTTTCACATCTGTTCTTTCCACCTGGCGAGGAAGCTGGCCAGTGAGTCCAGACTGCATGGCTGACGCCAGTTGTGGTGCCAACGCAGTGCAGGGACGAGGACACCCTCTCCCACCATCCAGCTCGACCTCCAGCATGCTCAGATCATTAAGTTTTCTGCTGTGTCCAGTTTTTGTCAGCCTGACACTGGTCCAGGAAGAGTCACGCCAGGACCAGAGACAGAAATTCATGAAGGATCAATCGGGGAACAGGAAAGGTCTTGGAAATTGATAACATGATGGCAGAGGAGAAAATCTCAAAGAACGGATAAAAGATAGAACTGAGACCATTTCCCAGAGTACAGACAGAGAGAGACAGAGAAAGAGAGCAAGAGAAGAAAACTCAGGGACAAACTCAGGGCTTAACATCTTGTTAGCAAAACCCCAGATGGAGAAAACAGATAACTCGAGAAAGTTCCCTAAATGTCTCCAGATCAAAGCGGTCACCAAGGGATCAGCACAGCAAGGAAGGGGCCTGTGCTGCGCATCAGGAGCCAGGAACCTTCAGAGTGCCAGGAGCAGAGAGAAGACTGTGCTGGCCGGGAGGAAAACAGATTGCATTCAAAGGACCAAGAGCCAGGTGGACCCTGACATAGCAGGAGCTCGGGGACAAGGCCACACATTTCTGAAGAAGTGTTTCCCCGTCTGAACCTGATGAACCGAGAGTCAGAACAAGCTAAAGACACTTTCAGACATGCAGAGGTTCAAGAACTGTCTTCCATGCACCCTTCTCAGAAGGGAAAGGAGCCCAAGAGGGGACTGTGGAAGCCCACGGCAATTCTGCTCCAGTCTAGATGGCAGAGCTAGATGATTCCGAGAGATTTGAATAATCCAGAGACAAATGGGCGACTTAGTGAGGAATGGGAGAAAACTGAGCAGGTAAACCAGGAGGTCATTGTTACCCAGCTACAACCTTTGGTTTAAAAAGGTTGTGATGGTGCACACCTGCAATGGTGCACACCTTTGGTTTAAAAAGGTTGTGATGGTGCACACCTGTAACCCCAGCACTGGAAGGCTGAGGCGAGAGGGGCAAGCTCAGTGTGAGTGACTTAGTGAGACCCTCAGAGTAAAAAAATAAAATTATGAAGGACTGAGGCTGTAGCTCAGGGTGAAGGCCCTGGGTCCAATCCCCAATAACACACACAGGTTGTATATAAAGTAAAAAAAAAAAAAAGCATGACATAGAATATTGCACAGCTGTAGAAATGTTTCTTCATAACAGTGTAAAACTGAATTAGCTAACATAGCAACATGGCTACTCTGTGCGTGCGTGTGTGTGTGTGTGTGTGTGTGTGTGTGTGTGTGAGAGAGAGAGAGAGAGAGAGAGAGAGAGAGAGAGAATGAATTAGAGTTAGAGGTGTGGTTATGAGGTTATGTCAGTGAAAGATATTACATTTTCACCTCCATAGTGGGAAGTCAATTCATGCCCAATGCTGAAAAGTTGGGAATTAGGAATATAAGATGCTGTTTACAGATTTGGAGATACAGGGCTAGGGATTTAGCTCAGTGGCACCGTGCCTGCCTCACAAGCGGAAGGTCCTGAGTTCCATCCCCGTACCCCAAAACAAATTTGGAGGTACATAGCAAAATAAATGATTTTAAAAGATGACACTGAGGAAAGGAGCACTGGGGAGGGATGGCTATGGCTTGCCATATTGCGTGTTGAATCTCAGAGAATGAGGTGGAACAGGTGCCCACATGATTCCTTTTTTTTTTTTTTTTTTTGGTACCAGGGATGGAACTCAGGACCTTGCGCTTGCGCAGCAGGTGGTGGCACCACTGAGCTAAATCCCCGGCCCACCCCCATGATTTTTATGAAAGTGGAAACCAAGCACAGTTTTTGTTTGTTTTGTTTTTCTGGTAGCGGGGATGGAACTCAGGACCTTGTGCCTGTGAGGCAGGCGCAGTGCCACTGAGCTACATTCCACCAAGCACAGTTTTAAAACTCATAGAGGACTGAGATCACTCACAACCATTTCTTTTATTAAAACTTGTTGCCCTGTTTGGTGGGTTAATGATGGGGACATGTTCTGAGAACTGTGTCGTGAGCAGATGTCATCGTGTGGGGCATGGCAGGGCTGGGGACGGGATCTTACGGGGTCTCCACCTGTCCCCTGGCCCTTGCTGAGCAAAGTCATCCTCCAAGTGCGCGACCGCAGGAGGACATTTGTGGGCAGAGGAGCCAGTCTGGCGTGGGCAGGGTGGGTCTCAGGAGGGACGGCAGGGTAAGTTCTCCAGCCTGAGTGGGAATCTGGCTGGCTGTGGACAGACAAGGCTGATCTCCAGCTTCAGGTACAGTGCTACCTCTGTTCATGAACTCCGTTCTCTCCACGATTCTGGTAGCAAACCAAGTTGGACAAGAATCAGATCTAATTCAGTGGGCTGGTTCGATGTTGACCTCATGGGGAAATTTGATTCAAGTCTTGTCCAGTTAGGTTTTCAACTAGAATCACAGAGAGAACTGAGTTCATGAACAAGGGTACAGCTGATCCCAAGCATGTTTATTCATTGCCTCAGGGAGACAGGGAAAAATCTTTAGTTATCCAAGGAAAGATAAATATTTCCAAAATTAACTTTGCGGTGGTAAAGTGAGCAGATCTGTGCCCCGTTCATCTCCTGTGTGTGTTTCACTCTGCCTACTGCAGAATAGCACTGGCACTCGACAGTCACTCTGAGAACTAACTCAGTGAGTCTGAAGCACAGTGACCAGGCCCTTGGTGGTTTAGCCAGCTCAGGCCACAGTCCTGGGACAGCAGATCTTCCCTCGGAGGGCTAGGAGGGGTTTCTGCTTCTGTGAGATTTTCTTCTGTGTGCTCACCCATCCCTCTGCAAGCCGCACCAATACCGTTTGACCTGAGAGAAATGGAGAAGGCCAGTGTGGCCATGCCGACCACTACGGTGGTGAGGGCGGTGTAGGATGCTGAGAATGCTCCATCAGCTCCCAGGCTAGGACAGAGACAAAGGGCAAGATGAGAGGCAGAGGCAGAGGGAGAGACAGAGACAGAGACAGAAAGAAGTGGAAGGTGAGCACTCGGGAATGGCACAGAGCCGAGGACTCCCTTCCTGCCTTATTTGACGTCTCTGTGTCTGCTTCACCTTCCTAGGGCGACACTTGGGGGACGTGGTCTGTGCTCCCAGAACTGCTGTTTTAGCCCTGTTCCCTTGGAAACAGCTAAGCCAGATCATCAAGGGCAGTGTGGGCAGCAGTAGGTGGGAAGGAGCTATACCCTGAGAGCTGCAGGACCCAGCTGGCTGCAGCCCTGCAGCAAACCTGCCAGTGACCAGGTCAAGCAGGACATCTGCATGGACACAGAGTGGTTCATGGGAGCAGAGGGTTTGCATCGCCCTTTGGGGTGACCTTTGGGGTGACTGTGTGCCCCCTCTGCCAGTGGCCCAGGCAGTCCAACCTGCAGGCCCCAGGTGGGGAGGCCTGGTGCTGGCTGGTGGTGGCCAGTGATGTCCGGATCTGCACGGAGGGCAGGGGACAGCTGGCGGTGGGGGCGAATCTGGGGAGCTAAACAGAAAAGCTCTTGTCCAGCTGCCTTGTGAACCTCGAGAAGCCCTGCCACAAACGAGAGCCCTGAACCCAGTGGGCTCTTGTGGAAGGTGACTGGGGAGTCCCTCATAGCCAGCCCACACCTAAGGAGTGCCCACCCCTTTCCCAGGGATCGACCACAAGACCACGACCATCCTGCTAGATGGGCGACGGGTGAAGCTGCAGCTATGGTGAGTCAGGGCCCCTGTCCCAGAGGTGCTGACCCCTCCGCAGGGACCTGACCCATTCTCCCAGCCTGAGCTGTGGCTTCCCCGAAGGATGGCAGTGGCTCGGTGGTCAGGGCCCTGGGCCCGTGAACGATCGTAACAGTGGGACTTGGGCAGACCTGGCACAGGCCCTCCTCACCACCCTGGCCACCTGTGTCCGCCTCTTCTTCAGTCCCCGCTGTCTCCACCTCCTGTGGACTTCCCTCAGGAGGCCAGATCTGGTCCCCCAAGTCTCCCAGAGTCTCAGGGGCCTCCACCGTGCTCAGAACCAGCCTAGGGCCCTGCATGACCTCAAGGCCACTCCTCTACGCTGCCAGCTGCAGGCTGTCTCCACGCTGACTCCTGTGGACAGCTGCACTCCTACTCGGCACCCCCTGGTTTGTCCCTCTCCCCCACCCCTGCCTAAGAGCTGGCCTCTGCCGGCCCACCCACCCTCCCAGGGCCGGACACCTGTGGAAGGGGCTGGGGCTCAGCTCACAGCTGTCACTCACAGCAGGGCTGGAGTGGGGTGCAGGGACTGCTCTCTCTGGCCTCCACTCCGGCTTCCTTTATCCCGCCATCCCCTTGTATGCAGACTTCCCAGCAGCTTGCACGTGGGGAAAGCCCACATCTCAGGTTCTGCCGTGGCTGGTCCTTGAATTATTGATTGATCTGCTTCTCAGGAAATGAGGACCTCATTTTCCTGACTGTGGCAATGGGCAGTGCCCGTGACCCCTGCTGGGTGCCAGGCCCTCCAGGGTGTCAGAGGTGGTCCCCAACCACAGGTGACACATAGCAAAAACAGCAAAACTGCCTCCCTTGCTGCTCACCGTGGACACACCCCGTGTGCATGGCCAGCCCGCAGATGCTGGGACTCCTCATCCTCGAGAACCCCCACTGATGTGGGCGATACCTACACGCGCAGATGTGAGTTGACATTGCCTGCAGAGAAGACTCCAGGAGACAGTGCCCACTGCCGCAGATGTCAGATGGAGAGTCCGAGGGGTTTCTTTCCAGGTCCTTGGCTTCCCAAACAAAGAAGTGGACCAGACCTATAGAAAAGGCAGCAGAAGTGTATGTTTATAGAAGGCAGAAAAGAAGTGCGCTCTGCAGAGTAAGTGCAGGCTGGTGAAGAGGCTCACAGCAGCCTGAGGATAAGAGGAACAGACCTCGTCTGTCTAAAATCCCTGGGCTGCCTCTCTTTTGTGTCAGTAAGGCACTGGGAAAGCTGCCCTATCCGACACTCACTGTGTCACGGCTATAGGAAGAGTCCTATCAGAAACTAACATGTGAGCGAAGCGTCAGAAATAGTGTCTCTTTTTTGTTTTTTTGGTACTGGGGATCCAACTCAGGACCTTGTGCTTTTGCTTTCCAGGCAGGCGAGGTGCCACTGAGCTAAATCCCTGGCCCGGGAATGGTGTCTTCTGACTGGCTGTGCCCGCGTGCACAATGCAGGACTTCAAAGAGCACCTTTGACTGGTTCCCTGTGCAGGGTGCCAGCGTCACTGTTTAGGCGTGTCCCTCCCCCGTGCAGTCTCACAGCCCCACAGTGACCCTTGGCAGGAGCCCTTCTCCCCCAGCACTGTCCTGGAGCGTGCTCTGGTCTCCTGGCACAGGCACCCAGGTGTGTGTGTCCCCTGCAGGGCTGATGCCTGGACAGGTCCGGTACCCGTCATCTCGGGGATGCTCCGGGGCAGGTGTCACACGTGCTGCTCTTAATGTAACTGGAAGCCCAGGGTCATGCCCGGTCTTTGCTCTATTTCTTGCCCAGTGTTATCTCCAGTTAAACCAAATTTTAGAAACCTACATTAGATTTATTTATGTGTCTGAGAATCGTGTTAAAACACATCACTATTTTTTCTAGTCTTACTTTCAAAATAACAGAAAAGAGAACAAAGCTGGGCATGGTAGCACACATCTATAATCCCAGCACTTGGGAGGCTGAGGCAGGGGGATTGCTGCAAGTTTGAGGCTGGCCTGGATTACATAGCAAGACCCTGTCTAAAAAAAAAAAAAAAAGAAAGAAAAGAAAAAGAAAATAAAGCAAGAAAAAGAGAATGAGCCCAGTGGGACATTCCAGCATCCGGTAGCTCCGAGAGAGGTAGATGGTTTTGCTGGGATCTTGGGCTGGCCACATATCAGCCACCAACAACCACTGTGAAAGGTGCTTGCTGTGGCTCCCAGGTTTGTGGACCTGGTTGTCAGGCAGGAGCAGTGATCTCTCCTAACGGTCTCCAACATCTTTTCCAGGGACACATCGGGGCAGGGAAGATTCTGTACCATATTCCGCTCCTACTCCAGGGGTGCACAGGTAACGCAGGTCCTTGAGCCTAAAGATCGCAGTGCGTGTGAATGATGACGTGTGCCAGCACCTGGCCAACTGTCCTCTCCAGTGGATGACCAGGGGCTGAAGCAGATGGGCTGATGTGTAAATTGGTGATGTCCAAGAGCATTTGGTGACAGGCGTCTCAGTGTCAGCGACGTGTGTGTGTGTCTGAGCATGTGTGTGCACATATGTGCATGTCTGCGTATGAGCCACCTGTGCCCACCCATGTGGGGGTCCACTCCTCGTGACCCTGCACTTCCCCACATTCCACGCCCATGATCCCTAGCTCACCTTGACATTAGAAGGATGATCAGTGAATTTATGAAACGTCACTGAGAATGACGATACACCCCCTACATCGGGTAGATGAAATTACACACTGAGAGTAAGTAAAGTAGTCAGCCAGCATGTCACACCCACGTGACCAGGGCCAGGCGCCTGCCTGTGTGTCCCCAGTGCTGAGTCTGTGCCTTCTCCCGCAGGGTGTGATCCTGGTCTACGACATTGCAAACCGCTGGTCCTTTGATGGCATCAACCGATGGATTAAGGAGATTGATGAGGTACAGTATGGGGACCTGGGCCTGCTTCCCTTGGGCTTGGGAGGACGCTGACTAGGGACTTGGTTCTGGGCATGCGTGCCAGGCTGAGGTTGGAGCTTCAGCATTGCAAGGTGCAGCATCTTGGAGCTGCATGCCCAGAGAGCCCTCCGGCCCAGGAATCCGCTCCAGACAGGGCAGACAGGGCCCCAGCAGCTCGGGGTCAGGACCAGCAGTGGGCTGCTTGGCTTCCTGCAGCGGTTGGAGGGCTGACAGGCAGAAGGCTGTGTGGGCCCCGGAGTGGTCAGGGTGAAGTCTACTGGGGCTGCTGTGACAAACATGCACAAACGAGGTGTCTCTCAGTTCTGGAGGGCAGAAACCAAAAATCCAGGTGCCAGCAGGGCCATGTTCCCTCCCAGAGTTGCAGAGGAAGATCCTCTCGCAGCTCTTGAGGCTGCAGCAGTCCTGAGCATCCCTTGGCTTGTGAATACATCCCTCCAAGGAACCTCCGCTGTCACTCAGCTCCACCTGTCCTGCGTGTCCTACCCTTATGGACGAGGACACCAGTCACTACAGTGCCCCTGCCCCATGCCCAGTTCAGCATGGCTTCATCTCTGATTACATCTGCAAAGATGCCCTTGGTGAATAAGGCCCTCTTCTGGGGTTCGGGGTAGCCATGGATCTGGGGGTATGCTGTTCAGCTCCGTACACGACAGCCTCAACCAGGTAACCCCCAGCCGACTCCCCACAGCACGCACCTGGTGTGCCCCGGATCCTGGTGGGGAACCGCCTGCATCTGGCATTCAAGCGGCAGGTGCCCACCGAGCAGGCCCGTGCCTATGCCGAGCGCCTGGGTGTGACCTTCTTCGAGATCAGCCCACTGTGCAATTTCAACGTCACAGAGTCCTTCACAGAGCTGGCCAGAATCGTGCTGCTGCGGCACGGCATGGACAGGCTCTGGAGGCCCAGCAAGGGTAGGTGGGTGGCCCCGGGGATGGGAGCTACACCCATGGGGTGGGAGTTGTCCTGCAGCCTACAGGACCCATCTCAAGGCTTCTGTGGCTCCTCTCAAAAAGTGAAAGTGGGGCTGGGGATGTGGCTCAGTGGCACCGCGCCTGCCTCGCAAGCGCAAGGTCCAGAGTTTGATCCCAGGTACTGAAAAAAAAAAAGTGAATGTGTTTGACTCGGGAGGAACAGTTATTACGGCTCAGAGAGAACACTCAGAAGAGTTGCTGCACCCACCTTGGGCAGAGGTGGAGGCACGTGGGTTGAGAGTTCAGTCCCGGGAGGGGGAAGCCCTGCCTGGGGTGCCCCTTGTGGCCAGCCCTGGGTGGGCAGGAACAGCAGCAGCTCAGCGTGGTTCTCTCCTCCCTCCCAAGTCCTGAGCTTGCAGGACCTGTGCTGCCGTGCCGTGGTGTCCTGCACACCCGTGCACCTGGTGGACAAGCTTCCGCTGCCCCTGGCCCTACGGAGCCACCTCAAGTCCTTCTCGATGGCCAATGGCCTGAACGCCAGGATGATGCATGGCCGCTCCTACTCCCTCACAGCCAGCACCCCGCACAAGAGGACCAGCCTGCGCAAGGCCAAGACTGCCCGCGCGCCGCAGAGCCCACCGGGAAACTGCGCCGGAAGCAGCTGCAAGGTCTCCTAGGGAGATGGCAGAGAGCGGAGTGCCTTTCCAGAGAAGCCGCGGGCCCTGCACCGGGGTGGGGGGGGGGCCTGAGCCTGGCCAGGCTCAGGACACAGCTTTGCCTCTCCGGCCACGCTGCTGGCTGGGCTGAGTGTGGCCAGTGGGCAGTACAGACACCTGCTCGGTGTGACTGACATTTCCACACGGTGTGCATGCAGCTCTTGTTCTCGACTTGTGTTTCTAAAGGGAAAGTTAGCGCCCTGCTCAGCTCTCGGTAACGTGAAATTCTGAATGCTACTTTTGTCACTATTTGCAGTGCAATTTTTTCCTTAAAATTACTGTTTTTATGAGACAGACAAGGTATGTAGGGAGTACACATTCAAGGGAGTTTGAGAAGCAATGACGGTGAGATCATCCAGCATTGTTGCTCTTACAGGAGGGGCTGTTTTGTAAACCTTTTTAACGTCAAAGCACCTATTTATAAAATGCTGCAGAGGGACAGAGATGACGTACAACAGATCTGTCCGGTTAGGGTAGGAAATGCATTTGATAACGTTTTTGCTATGTTGTTTACTACATTTTGGGATCAATAAGTGATTTCTATGCATATTTTTCTGTAAACCTACATCTTTTTTGTACAATGTGTTCTACAAGTTATGAAGCTACAGGAAGAAAATGCCAAAGATATCTCTTGTGATACTGAATATAGTCAACGCAGTTCCAACAGTTCGGCAAGGAGAAAGCTGTTTCAGTAAAGAATGAAGTAAAAACACTACTATTTTAGGACTGTTTCTCAACAATAAAGCGTATACCTGTTCCTCTTGGTAGCAGTGCAGGCTGGCCCTTTCTAGCTCTAGGTATTCTATAGCCTTTTTGTTCATCTGGAGGTTTTTTCCTTCTTTTTTTTTTTGAGACAGGGTCTTGCTGTGTAGTGCAGGCTGGCCTTGAACTCACTATGTACCCCAGTGTGACCTCGAACTTGCGGCGATCCTCCTGCCTCAGCCTCCAGGTGCTGGGGATTATAGGTGTGCGGCAGCACACCCAGCTTTCCTTAGCCTTCTCTTCATTGGCTCCATTGACCCCACTGCCTGGTGTGGGCAGCCAGTTCATGGTCATTCACGAGCTGACCACAGGCTTAGTTTTTGACATGCTGGGGAAGATTGATCTTCCAGAAAAGGAAGCCAGAGGTGAAGCAGCACCGCACCTGTGCCTGTCTGTGAGGCCCCAGGGCCCCTGCACCCCTCCTGCTGCTCTCGGGGCACAGACTGCCCCAACTGTCCCAAGGACAAAGTCCCTCACCAGTCACATGCCCGAGGCATGATGGCTTGGCAGAGGCCGCAGGCTGGGTGTCCCCTGGTTGGTCCCATGGCCCGGCACCTCTCTGGGGCAGCTGGGCTTCAGTGGGGGGTTCCACGCAGAGAGAGTGAGTCAAAAAATGTGATGTGAGAAAATGCTCAGAGGTCCTCAGCTCCTGTTAAGGACTTACAAGGTTTTAGCAATGTAAGGGGCCTGTATCAGTCACTTTCCCAAGTATGGGACAAAATACCCAACACCCACAACCTAAAGGAGGCTTGTGGTTCAAACCATGGTGTGCTGGCTCGGAGGCAGAAATGGCAGGGAGGCAGGGCCTGAGGGAGGGAGGGAAGCTGTTCTGCCCAGGGCACCCAGGAAGCTCGAGAAGTGAGGAGGCAGAGGAGGAACAAGAACACATCCTTCCGGGTCACAGGCTTAGTGACCGACCTCCAACCCGGCCCCACCTCCTCCCAGCACATTCAGGTACTGAACTCTTCCATGGAGAGTCCACGGGTGCATGTAGTACCCCGTGATCCAGTCACCTCTGAGCATGAGGCTTGGGGGACATTTCAGATCTGAGCCACAGCAGGGCCCCAGCACAGAGCAGCAACCTCAGGAAGCAGCATGGAGCACGCCAACCCCCGCCCACAAATGGCCTGGAGCTGGGGATGTCCCACCGCCTGGGCATGATTGGGGGACAGATGCCCACAGGGGTGTGAGGGTGGGCTGAGGGGACAATTCTCAGGGGGTGGCCCGTGTGGACATTTTCCCAGCGCCTTCACAGCCTCCTCTGCTATGCACTGATGGAGACACAAGAGCTCAGCCTGGTGCTGGCCTGGCCAGGGCTGCTCCTTCCAGGGAGGCGTAAGAGGGTGAGTGAAGGGTCCCAGCAGAGGCTCTTCCCCACCACTCGGGCCTGCGTGGAGGGCAGTGGGCCGTGCAGAACAGACTCTCATGAGACCAATCCACACAGGTACAGCGCAGTATTTCCCCTCTGCTCCTTTTCCGAGTTTTGATTGAAGACTTCCACTCATGTCCTAGGAGTAGAACACAGTTCCCAAGCCCCTGGCCCGGAGCCTTTGGAGGCCTAGTGTGTAGAAGGCACACGGGCTGTCCACAGGCCTTGGTCCTCCAACACGGGAAGCCACTGGTAGCTGAGGCAGGAAGGGTCTCCCCAAGACCTGCTTGAGGGAGCCCAGCCCACTCACACATGATTGCGAATTCAAGGCTCCCAGAACTGTGAGAGAATAGATATCTGGGGTTTTGTTGCTGTTGTTGAGGTTTTTGTTTGTTTTTATTTTTGTAGTGGGGATTCAGCCCAAGGGCTCACACGTGGTAGGCAAGTGATCTATCAGTGAGCTATACTCCCCGTCTTTTTTTTTTTTGGTACCAGGGATCAAACTCTGGACCTTGTGGTTGCAAGACAAGCAGTGGAACCACTGAGCTAAATCCCTGGCCCCTCATCCTTTTTATTTTAAGGCAAGGCCTCCCTAAATTGCCCAGGTTGGTCTTAAACTTGCAATTCTCCTGCCTCAGCCTCCCACGTAGCTGGGATTACAAGTATGTGCCACTTCAGCCACCCAGATATCTGTTATTTTAAGCTACCCAGTCTGTGGCTATTGTCATGGTGCTGTAGGAAATCTGGACTGAGAAAGACAAACTCACTTAAAAGAGATGGAGGAGGGGCCGGGGATTTAGCTCAGTGGTTTTGCCACCTGCTGCACAAGCACAAGGACCTGAGTTCAATCCCCGGTACCAAAAAATAAAAAAACAAAAAAAAAGAGATGGAGGAAAGCTTTATTGACTGGCTGGCCAGTGGGCCTAGTGCTCTGTAAAGACCTTTGCCCTGAAATAAAAAATGAGGGAGTTTTATGCAGTAGTTTCAGTTGGGGTGGGCTTGGGGTGGGGCTTTCTTTAGGAACAGGACATTCACATAGCGTGACACACAACAGAATGCATATCGTGAATGTTGAGGCTAACCAGATATGTTTTCCAGGCTAACAGACAGGATATAACAGAATGCATATTGTGACTAGTAAAGCTAACAGGATATATCTATCTGTAGATAGATGACAGACAGATAGATACACATTATATATACATATATATATATATATGTATATATATATATAGTGGTGGCTTACACTGCGATTATAGAAAGTATCACTGTATCATTCCTTGGGAGGAGTTGTGGATCTGCCCATTTCTGGGTAAATAGGAACAAAAGAAGGGGCTATGCGAATTCTTAAGGCTTGAAGGCCTAAAAGTTTAAAACTTCTGGGCCGGGGATTTAGCCCAGTGGTTCCACCACCTGCCTCACAAGTGCAAGGACCTGAGTTCGATCCCTGGTACCAAAAAAAGTTTAAAACTTGTGCATTAATGGCAGAACTGGGAAACTAATATGACAAGGTCATAAGTTATACTTCGCAGAGGACGTCCAATAGCGAGTCAAAGTGGCATTTCTGTGAAAGAAAAACAGACCCTAATACGGAACATATTTAGAAGCATATCGGGACATACTGGTGGTGAATACACAGCACAGGAAATACAACTGAAATGCAAGTCAAACCCTACAGAAAACTTTGTCATTTGTCATTCTACTCCACAGCTCTCACAGCTGGCAAAATCCCTCCCAAATAGGAAAGATAGGAACATGAGCCACCTTATTCCCAGACATCCACGGGCCTCTCCAGACACTGAGATTCAGAATATATTATGTACGAATGTCTTCAACTGCCCTATGGGAATTACTGCCATGAGAGAAAGCTCTAAGATAGACAGCTTACAACTTTGATGAGAAATTGCTTAGACAAAATACGGAATCTAGGGGGAAAAAAGTCAGTTATAGGCTTGATAATATTTGTTTTTGCAAAGACTGAAAGGCTGGGGCTTCCTGTGCTGAAGAGCAGCTTCATCAAATTGAACATGGATTCGAGAAGCAGGAATAAGTCTTCTTGAGTTGGGAGACCTAAAATAAGTCTTTCACCCAGGGAAGACTGGAGGGTGAGAAGACTCCCACAGTCATCCTGGGGTGGGACTTTCTCTCTGTCCCTACTCGGAGGGCAGGGCAGGGATCCTGAGTCCACTCCAGCCACTGTAACCAAATACCAGAGACCATCACTGACAAGGAAAAGGGATTTGTGCTGTAGGCTGGCAAGGCCAAGAGCAAAGCAACGGCAGAGTTGGTGTCTGCTCTGATTCCAGGGTGGTGCCTGGAAAGCTGTCTGTCCCTGGAAGGGCTGGAAAAGCAATGGAGGGGCCGGGGGTTTAGCTCAGTGGTTTCACCGCTTGCTGCACAAGTGCAAGGACCCAAGTTCGTTCCCCAGTACCAAAAAAAGAAAAGAAAAGAAAAAAGAAAAGCAATGGAGGGAGCCAGAGTTCTGACAAATTTTTTTTTTAAATAAAATCATTGATCCGAGGGCTCTGTTATCAACCTACCAAGGATTCTTTCACTCAATTCAGACAGAAATCACGAACAGGCAAAGTGCAGCTCCCTGGGCATTAGCAGCTCTGAGGCTGAATGCCAGCAGCCCTCAGCAATTGTGTTAGCAGCCCTCCTTGCTGCTCTTTTGGTGGCTGGACAGGCAGCTGCCAGCAGCTCTCTGTGTTCTCTGGCTGCCAGCCTGTATTAGTTGGGGCTCTCTGCAGGAACAGAGTGAACGGGAAACGACGTCTAGCTTTCATCTGGGCCCATGGCCCCATCAGGATGGGCAAAGGCCACAGCCTTCATCCTGCCAGGAAGCTCTGCAGTCACTGATGGGACTGGAAGTGGTGCAAGGAGCTACACAAGAAGGCCCGTCTGGCCATAGCCTGAAGGCCAGCTCGTGAAGGAGGAGCTTCGCATGCAAAGGGAACTGTGCTGGGAAAGGTAGGTTGGAGCCACACAGCCAAATTCTGTCATCAGGAAGCGTGTCAGGGTCCAGCTGATCGAGGACAGCAAGAAAATCACAGCTTTGTTCCTAATGACGGGTGCTTGAACTTTATGGAGGAAAACAATGAAGTTCTGGTCACCAGATTTGGTCAGAAAGGTCATGCTGATGGTGATATTCCTGGAGTCCGCTTTAAGATTGTTAAAGTAGGGCCAGGGATTTAGCTCAGTGGTTCCAGTGCCTGCCTCACAAGCACAAGGTCCCGAGTTCCAACCCTGGTACAAAGAAAAAAAAAGATTGTTAAAGCAGGCCATGTCTCTCTTTTGATTCTCTACAAAGGCAAGAAAGAAAGACTGAGATCATAAATTCTGAGAGAAGACATTAATAATAAATTTTCATATTAAAAAAAAGAAAATATATGTCTAATATTTTACCCAAGTGGATGTATTAGGTGGGCTCACAGAGCCAGAGGTGGGGGTCCACAGTGGCGTCCACACACAGAGAAGTCAGGCGCTGCTCAGCCCAAGCAGGTGGAAGCTGCAGAACAAGGGGGCCAAGGACGCAGCACTGGTCCAAGGCTGAAGGCTCGGAAGCTCCCTGGAGGTTCACCGGAATGAGCCTGTGTCAGAAAGCTGGAGACAATGGAGGCCTGGAGGCCAGTGG